TCCCCAACCCTGTCGGAGAGAAGAGGAAGATATTTTCCCAAGAGCAAGAGAGTGAAGGATGTCGAGCGTGCCTTTGGTGTTCTGCAGTCCCGATGGGGCATCGTTCGGTATCCTGTTAGAAGTTGAAGCACCAAAATATTGTGAGAGATGATGAATACTTCTGTGATATAGCGATGATATCACACGGAGAATCGACAGTGAGCGATGGGGGAGAGCCAAAACAAAAAGATCAGGCGTTGGAGAGTCGTTATAGCCAGGCAGTAGATCTGACCCAAACGTTGGAAGATGTTTAGTCGAGAGATTGTAGTCTTTTGGGGACGAAAACCAATGCGGAGAGAGTGATCCTGAGAGGCAAAGCCACGAGTGAATTTGTTTTTTTAGACAAACTGCAAAGCTTTATTACGTCGTCACAATGTTTACAGGGACGAAATCAAGATCGTTGGGCTGGCCTAACCAAACATGGCGACCAACCCCGAGAGATAAAGCGTGCTTTGCTAGTTTGTGAGCTTCGATGTTCGAGCTCCTAAACTCATGACGTATATTACAAACCTCAAATTCTGCCCTATGCTGTATGATTTCATGTGCAATAGCCCCATAGCTTCCTTTGCATTGTTGATGGATGTCATCCACGGTCACTTTATAGTCCGACGCAACATGAATCCTCCTGACATATATGTCATCTGCCAGTGCCAGGGCTTCCCTAATAGCGAGCATCTCCAAAGTGCCTGGATCTGAAAGATGAGAGAAGACCACCGCCGAAGCTCCCAAGAAGGCTCCATCCTGATCTCTACAGATAGCTCCTTCTGCACCTCTCTCCCGGCCTACGGCGGCATCAACATTGATCTTCACCAGGCCCTGTGGTGGTGCCATCCATCTGTTACCTCGAGCTTGTGGAGCCCTGACCCCAACGGCCGTCGGAGTCTGGATTGCCTTGAGTTCAGCTATGTAGGATTTTACAAACCCGTTAATGGCATAAGGTGTCTGGAAGATATCCTCGTACATGGCCTTCCTTCGAGCGCCCCACAGAGCCCATAGTGTGACGACGAAAGCAAGGAAATCATCTTGGTTGAGCGCTTCGTGCATGACGAATAACCATCTTTTCGCGTTTTCCTCCATGCATGTGCTCAACTTGGTGAGAATCTCCTCTGAAGACAGCGCCCAAGTACTCCTAGAGACCGAACAATCCACAAGGGCATGGCGCCAGGTGTCAACCGCCCCACAAAGGCAGCAAGCTCGGGAAGTTGACATATTTCGATGATGGAGCAGCGATGCTGTGGGGACAGAGTGCTTGGCGAGTCTCCATAAGAAAAATTTCAGTTTTGAGGGGACCTTGATCCGCCATAGTTCTGTCCACCCCTGGTCAGCTCCATGAGAGTCAGAAGCCGAGCCATCTTCATAAAGCCATGCCTCGCGGCTGAGCTTCGTTAGTTGGATCATCCGATACGCTGAACGCACGGTGAACGTGCCCTTCCTCTCCTCGGACCAGGCCCAGAAATCGCCAGTCTGTCGTGTGCAAAGGGGTATTTGCAGTATGGCTGCAGCATCGATTGGTATAAACACCGTCCGGACTAGATCCTCCTTCCAGGATGATGTAGTGTGATCTATCAACTCAGCTACTGTAGTTGGAGGATTCTGCACTAGAGAGGTGATCGGTCTCTTCATGTTTGGTCTCGGCAACCAATTGTCCTCCCATATCTTTGTCGATTCACCGTCTCCAATTCTGCGTACCAAACCCTGGACCATGATATCCCGGCCATCCAAGATAGCCCGCCAAATCTGCAAGGGGTGAGGCCCTAGTGTTGCTCCAAAAATGTCCGAGTTGGGATAGTATACTGCTTTCAGGATCCTCGCACTGAGAGACAGTGGATTTTGCAACATGCACCAGGATTGCCTTGCTAGGAGTGCCAAGTTGAACATCTCCATGTCCCGAAAGCCAAGACCTCCAAGATGCTTTGGTAGAGTGACCACATCCCATGCCACCCAGCTCGGTTTTCGCTTCCCCTGCTTACTTCCCCACCAGAATTGTCTGATTAGCGCAGTAATACTTTCACATAGTCCCCGTGGAAGTCGGAAGCAAGCCATCGAATAGACTGGAATTGCTTGATCCACTGCTTTGATTAGTACCTCTTTCCCCGCTGAAGATAATAGCTTTTCCATCCATCCTTTGACCTTCTCCCAAACTCGGTCCCTCAAGTATTTGAAGATCCCGTTCTTCAAGTGACCGACCTCCGTTGGCATTCCCAAATACCTGTCACTAAGGGACTCGTTATGCACATTCAGAATATTTTTCATTTCGTCTCTTACCGCCTGTGGGCATCCTCTGCTGAAGAAAATCGAAGATTTATCATGATTTATCCTCTGACCCGAAGCCAAACAGTATGTTTCGAGCAGGTTTGATACTGCTACTGCCCCCTCATTCCTTGACTTAAATAGCAACGTATATGGGCCTTGGGCCATGTCTACACCTGCTAGCAAAATAGGAAACTTAAAAAGAGAAAAAAGGGAGGTCAATTTCAATGCATATGGATATACCTAAACACCAAACAACAAGCGACGAAAACACCAAAGCGAACACCATAAACCGAATAAAGTAGGACTATCAGATGAATTTAATTCGGTTCTTCAGTTTTTGATGTAAAAATGCTCACTTCTAACCTTAATGGTCGCCTAAAAAAATACTTAACTCGCAACCAAGAAATGGTGTGGCAAAGAGCTGTCACACTCTAGTAGAACTAAGAGCATCTACGGTCGGGCGCCTCAAACCGGTCTCAAACACCCGAACGGCCCGCCTGGTCACTAACTAGTCACGATAATCTGATCCAGTCAAACGTTTCAAACGGCCGTCAAACGTCCGGGCTATGCGGCACCCCTCATATCCAGCCCAAATTAGAGCGGATATGGGGCTGCACAAGCGCGCCCCGGCACGTCCGACATGTCAGCTTGGCCCACCTCGAGGCCACTTCGCCCCCTCAAATATCCCCAATCCGGAAACCCTAGCTCACTCCACTCTCGATCAGTCTCTTCTTCTTCCCTCCGATTTCTCCGTTTCGATCCACTCCGACGACTCCGGTGACTGCGACGACCATGTCGAGCGTCGGCAGCCGCTCCTCCTCCGACGACGACGACGAGTTGGCCCTGTGCATTGCCCTCAAGAGGTCCAAGGTGGACACGAGTGACAGTTCATGATTGGTCGCCTCGCCTCTCCCCCTCTGGCGCTGGCTCCTCCCAACCCGCGCTTGGCTCCGCGCAGGCTGCGTAGTCCGCGCCTCCCCTCACGTCGTCCCCTGCCCCCGCGCGGCTGTTGCTCGCCACGTCGGCCGCGGTGGGTGCTTGTACCCGCACCGCCGGCCCGGACGCGCACGCCGGAGTCGGAGGCGCGCGCCGCCCGCTGCTAGAGGCAGCAGGCAAGGGTGGGGGTTGCGGCTGAGAGCTCTGTCCGCCGTCGCTGTGGGTTACCGACAGAGCCCGACGAGGACGAGCGACTCCTCGCGTGGGTCTACCGCCGGTCGCTTACGAGAGCGGAGGCGGACGCTGCGCGGCTCCGCCGGACTCTGCGGCTAGCTATCGAGCAGCCCGAGCGCGAGGCAAAGGAGAAGGCGACGGAGGCGGCTCGGCTGGCGAAGCTCAAGCGCCAGCAGGACAGGGCCGTCCGGCGCCTCAAGGGCCTCATCATCGTCTCCTCCTCCTCCTTCGACGACGACGGCGGCGGCTCCTCGTCCGACGACTTGAACGATCCTCCACCAGCCGCCAACGGCTACAGCTGCGCCGGCGATCGGAAGGGGAAGGGGCCGTCCCGAAAGTGGTGAAGATCCGCTTTTCTTCAGTTTAATTTCAAGTTAGATATAGTTTCAAGTTGTTCGTCGTTTATGTGAACTTTGGTGGTCCTTTGAACATCCGACCGTGATCTTTTGGTGAAAGTATTGTGCTTGCCTATGTTCGTTTGCTGATCTACGTAGTTTGATCGACGTTGCATGATTTAGTATGAATATTGGGGATCGGATATAAGATATACGGATGTGGACGACGCTATTTGAGGAGTGCCCGGTCAATGCCCGCGAACGCGTCCGGAGGCATCCGCGGGCGTTTGATGGGTCATATTAGTCATATATGGCTGATGCTCTAAGTATCACCAAATTCGGCTAGAAACCTCGGCGGTCTACCTCTCCGCTAACCCGGTGCATCATCGATGGACCAAGCATATTGAGTTGGATATTTATTTTGTTCGGGAACATGTGGCCCTTGGTCATATTCGTGTTTTACACGTCCCTACTTCCCAACAATTTGCTGATATCATGACTAAGGGCTTGCCTACGACGTCATTTGAGGAGTTCCGGTCCAGTCTGTGCGTAAGCCATGGTGCCGCTTCGACTGCGGGGGGTGTTGAGTATATGTGTTATGTGCATATTGTGTATTTGGCCCGCCTCCTAGTTTCTTGTATAGTTGAGGTCCGTGGCCCATCTTTGTACATCATATATACGTGCCTATGCACAAAGAACAATACATCGTGTAATTCACATATTCTGCACTTAGTATGAATATGGAGCATCATATATGAAATACACGGATGTGAACAACGCTATTTGAGGTGTCGGTCACTGCCCACGGATGCGATCGGACGTATCCGCATGCGTTTAAGGGTCATATTTGTCCTATGCGGCGCATCGCCAAATTCGGCTAGAAACCGAAGAACCTTCTAGTTCTACCATATTCGTGAAACTTGCACAAATCTAGTCGAGCAGAACAGGTGATGCTCTACTCCAGTGCGTTGAGCTTGGACAGATAAAACAGTTTCGGACAGCTCATCTTCCTTTGCCCCCAAAACATCTCTCTCTGTTTACGCTGCCCCGGTCCCATTTGCAGCGACACCAGGCCAGAGGACTCGGAGCCACAAAACCTATTGGTGGGGTGAATACCCTCCTCATGCTCCGTATCTCACCAAAGCTGTCCCACACTGCCGCACGCCTCAGAACACCCCACACACCCGCCGCCGCCGCGGAAAGATGAAAGCCATCGGAAGCGGCGGCGAGTGGTGGTGGAACCTCCCGTCCCTCCGCCGCAAGAACGACTCGCGCCGCCGCGGCCGCCGCAACCAAGACGCTCGCGGCCGCCGCCGCGGGCCCCCGCGGGAGCCGCTCTCGTCGTCGTCGTCGTCGGACTCCGTCGGCCAAAGCCGTGGCTGGCCCCTCGACTTCCCGTTCCAGCAGGCCGTGACCGCCGCCTGCCTCACCCTCACCGGCGACACAATGGCGCAGGTCCACCGCCGCATCGTCGACCGCCGGAAACGCGGCCCCGAACCCGACAGCAAGGTCATTTTTCCTGCATCTCATCTCCACTTTTGAAACCGTTATAAAAATGGAGTCCCTAATAGGATAAAACTGGATTATGATTCAGTTGTGTAAGCATTCCTGCAGCCGAAACACCTTCAACTTCAGTCTTCAGTGTAGATCAAACTGTGAAGTCCAAATCAGTAGTGTGCGTATACTAAATCATAGCCGTGCATCACCATGCCACAAGTTAGCTAATCTCACAATGCACTGTGATGAGTGTAAACCTGACACTTTACGATTGTACTAAGTTCTCGCACGCGCCGGTGTCTTCTTTCAGGCTCTTGTGCCGGATCTGTTGCTCAACCACGATTGGCTTCGTGGGCTTCGTATAGCATCTTACGGATTTCTTCTCTATGGTCCTGGCTCATATGCATGGTATCAGTTTCTCGACAAAAGCATGCCCAAGCAAACACTCGCGACTCTGTCCGCTAAGGTATGGTATGCACCCTCCCATGTAACCGGATGATTCGGGGATTTCGATCTTAATACATTCTGTATTTTATGTCTGTTGTCGTTCCAGGTCCTACTGAACCAGATTGTTCTTGGTCCATGTGTCATCTCTGTAATTTTTGCCTGGAATAACTTGTGGTTAGGAAAATTGTCAGAATTGCCATCGAAGTATCAGAATGACGCCCTTCCCACTCTTCTCGATGGTAATGTTTCTGCCTGAGTGTATTCTCAACATTGTGCTTGAACGAAAACAACTCATTTTATGTTATGTCTCACTTTATTCTGCTACTGCAGGGTTTAAATTTTGGATTCCAGTATCGATTGTTAACTTTGGGTACAGTCTCTTAACTTCTACCTCTACTTTTAAATATTTAGCTCAGCATTTTTCTAATCCTAGTCTAAGGTAGTATTAAGTTGTCTAGTTTAGATAATACTTCATGTAAACAATCATTTCTTATGCTAATTTTCAATATGCATTCCAGGGTGATTCCTTTGCCAGCTCGTGTTGCCTTCATGTCCTCTTGTTCCATCTTTTGGAACTTCTATTTGTCGACCACAATGAACAAATGAACTTCTAGTTCTCATCTTCAGGTTAGTTCTTGCTGCAACTCAAAATCTCCGATGATTACTCTATGCGTGGGTACATTTTAACAAAAGATCGGCCGTCTTATTGTTCAGATCCATTCAACTGCAACAGAGGAGGATCTGAAGGGGCTTCTTTCCTATTATACGTAGTACGGCGATGGTGCCTTTGGCAGTTCTGGTGGTGGTCTCTTGAGTTGACAGACATTATTGCAGATGATCCATAAGTATGTGGATACTGTCGATGGAGAAATTACAGTTTTGTGTAAACATCTATGAGCATGTTGCTCTAGTTTGACAGTGGAAGTGTTGTAATTTGTATCGTTTGTTCAGTGACCTTAACTTTTATATGACAAAGACATTAGTGCAGGCCTCTGAATACAGTTTTGTAAGTGCAATTCTCCAGGAATCTGAATTCCATTTTTGAAAATTGAACTTCAATGTGCGAATTTCTAGGAACAGTCCAAGGAAGAATAAAATGAAGATCGAAGCAGGTTCCAGAAGTACTAGCATTGTTTCCCCTTTTTGTGGTTAATATTATCTTTCCCTGACATGGTTCACAATCACAAACTGTTCCTTAAGCAAAGACACTTGTTTCACAGTATAATAGTACTGAGCTATGCCGACTAGAAAACCATTTATTAGTGAAGCCTCTGGTACAGACTCCGTTGGCTTTTAAAAAGAATTACACAGCATATTTGACAGAAAAGAATTTGCTACGCCATTTCTATCTTCCTTTTACATGACAAACAATTTACAGATTAGAGAAAGCCTAAAAATTGACACAGCTACAGTCTACAAGGTACAGAGTGAATAAATTATGGATGTTAAAATTAAACGCTTGTAAAACTACCACTTCTAGTGTTCTTTTATCTTGGGGATTTTGTGGAAAACTACCACTTCTAGTGTTCTTTTATCTTGGGGATTTTGTGGAAATGCATCTTCCACACAGGATAAGCCGAGATATAGCTCGTGACCTTCCACTTCCAGTCCTGAACCTAAACGACGAGAGCTGTGGAAAATGATTGGATTAGCATTGACAGAAACATATATATGATAAACATAAGAACAAAAACTGTAATTTAAGCAGGGTTCAAAAACTCTGACGCTAATATTTCATGCACACTACCAGTGCGCAAACACCATAGCTGTGCTGTGTTCAAGTACCGTATCACTATACAGTTGCTAATTCACTTAAAATCTACAGTCATTCCAAACATATTCAAAATTTCTCAACGATGTATCAGGAAAAATCAACCTAACAAGGTAGTTCCTCTTTTTGGCACTGCGTTGATGTTACCATTTCCTTTTTCAAATTTGTTTGGCTTCCTCATAGAAATTATTATATTCATCTTGAGAAAAAGGCCTCTAGACAAATTTAAGACAACTAATTCGGGACGGAGGTAATAAAAGGTACTCCCTCCGTCCCATAATGTAAGACATTTTTGCAAGCTAATATAGTTTGCAAAACATCTTATATTTTGGGACGGAGGGAGTATGACCACAGGAGAGCATCAGATCCAGCTAGGCAGTGTTAGCTCAAAAGGGGCCCAGCGCCACAGCCTAAATGTTTCAAGCTATACAATCATGGCTTGTTTGTGTAGTTCCACAAACGCAAGCAACTCCTCACCAATACGCAAATGATAAGTTAAATTTGGAAACTGATATAAGTTAACATTCCAATTGTATTCAGTGGTGTAAAAAGACCCACTGGCACTTATTCTAGTGGCACACTGTTTCAACATAACTCAGACATGAAAATTACCTTCCGGCGAGTCTTTGAAGTTCTCCAACACAGTATATTTCTCGATCTAGGCTCTAATCTCCTGTGCATAAAAATTATCACGATCAAACATCGTTCTCTGAGCAGTACAAATCACAAAGCTATAATTGGCAAAATCAATTCAAACATAGAATATTTAAGCGGCAATTTATGTTGTTACAAAAATAATTTCTTAATGCTCTCATGATACATGCTGGTATTGAGTATTGATTGTTCACCATGCATGACCGATGATTAATACTAACTATTGGTGTGCGATATCACCATTTATATCTTCTTTGAAGAATGTATCTTTAGGGAAGACGCAAAAGCTTCAAGCATCTTAAAGTACATTTATCATTTGTTTTGTTTTATTTTATTTTACAATACACAGAGTAAAGGTTTAGTGACATGTATTAATTTCTTAGATGCAGATGCTGAAGTATGACTCCTATACTTTAGGCTGTTTGAACGGGATGTAAGACGATGTTACTTACAAATTCTCTTGTTCCAGTTTTTCTGCAATTGACATAGCTTTTCGTCTAGACCAGCCTCCTTGTTGAGAACAAACCTCCACCTTACTGAGAACATGAGCAAGTGAGAGCTTTCGTTTTACTATGCTGTTCTGTCGACGCTGTTTATTCCCATTTTTTCCTCCTTGTTTAATCACGCCCTCTTGGTTTGGTGATGACAAAGCCTCTTCCCATGCATTATCATTTCTTCTTTCATTTATATTATGAACACCATTATCTGTTTCAGGACACCGGTGCATGTGAGAAGGTCCAACTTCAATGATCTCGCCTTCTGTTAATATGTGGGGATCAGACTGCATCCACTTGGTCTTAGTAGAACTAGCTCCCTTGACAACCCTGTCTTTTTTAAGCCTCCTGACGAGGGTTTCACCTCCAGAAGAAACCGGGCTATGTTTACTGAAGGATCTCCTTGATATCGTGTCAGAGTCATTCTCATCATGACCTGCTCCCGCATCATGTTTTGCTTCATATCGGATTTCAAGTATTATAGCAGAATGAAGAACAGACTCAAACGCCTGCATAATTTGTCCCCTGAAGTTTTCAGCGTTGGACTTATTTACACGTGAGCTGAATATCACTTGCACTGTCGGTCCTGTAGGAAGAAAAGAAGCTGTTGTTAAAAAACAATCTGGTAGAACAACAAGCTAACAATTATTCCCTCCGGTCTACAAATAAGTGTCACAGCTTTGAACTAAAGTTGAACTAACCTTAGTTCAAAGCTGTGACACTTATTTTGGATCGGAGGGAGTAACATATTTCCAAGGAGATAGTAATTCAACTTAACATAACTACAAGTTGGAGGCACGGCAGCGCTGAACCGTTGACCCATCATAGTTCATTTGGTTAATTCACTTGTATACAAAGTGGACAACCAGTTGACTGGAAACTGAATCATCAACTACAGGAGTTTGCATCTCTGTTTTTGTGAGTACTGAAGCTATATATTTCATCTTCTAGGCCAAAAGGAAAAAAAACTAGTAATTTGAAAATTGAAATGGATTTTAGACTTTGAAGCTTACCGGTGCCTAGGCTGACAGATCTTAGCTTTCCTTCTTTGGCCATCATTTTTCGTAGTGTATCTGACTGAATACTCTCAAGCACTGCTTGCCAGATCATTTCATTTTCAGTTTTGCTATGTTTGGATTGCTCATTCACTTTGGTAACAGTGGAGGAACCATGGTGATTTGATGTATGTTTAATGGTTCTCCTTTCGCCGTAAGAAGTGCTTGCCATGTTACCATTATGCTCAATAGCTGAGTGCCTTGCTACATCCTTACCAGGAAGGGAACCGTCCAATACACCGTGGTTGAAACTCGTACTTGTTGATGAACTTGGCACCATATACTGCTTATCAGGAGCAAGCTGAAGCAGAGCAGCCGCAAGCCATGTTGCCTTGTCATTGGAGACTCTCAACTGCTTTTCAGCTTCCGATAGTGTTTTCAAAGCCTGGCGTAGTTTCTCCATATCATTTTTTGACACTGAAATTAGTAATGCAAGAACACTACATTAAGTGGTCGTAAAATATTAACCGTAAGGCAACACGGAAGAAAAACATGTCAACCAGACAACCAGACGATTGACTTCATAGTCTTAGCAGAGGTAGTCAGGATAGGAAAATAGTGTCAAATTGTTCTGAATTATCCATGATTATAAAAAAAAGTTGATGCTTACAGGTTGGACGTTTGAAGAACTTTCTTCGTGGTCTTTCTCTTGCAAATATGTAGGAACCAGCCAGGATGTCAGTAATTATCGTGGCAAGTTGAGACATCAGTGCCGAAGGCTCAACTCCAGTTTCTGTAATGTCTCGTAATGTCTTCACTGTGTTCACAGTGTCAGCAGATAGTGCCAAATCAAGCAAATCAACCAGCTTATCATCGGATACCAAACCAACCTGTGACATAAACAAGCAACCAAGTTATATTGTTATCAAAACAAGAATTGCAACGATGGAGCATTAAAATTCTGACAGGGGCTTAAGTCGGCGAGTTCCTTAACTGTATTCCAACTATGTGATATTTATATTACCAAATTTATACCAAAGAGGCCATTCAGTGTCTGTGCCAATTAATCCAACCATGTGATATTTCGATCATATGTGTCATCTGAAGTTGCTATACTATGCCTAATTCACTTCTTGACAAATTACAGGTTCAAACAAAACCCCAACTAAATTATTAGCTGATGACACCTTCTATTCAAACCAGAAGGAAACCAGGTATTGAATCTACATGATATAGTTTGTTTTCCAAAACATAAATATTGATGGTACGATCATGCTTGCGAAATATCTTTTCAAAGATAAAAAAGGTTGATGGTAATAATGATGCTTGCAAAATATCTTACGAGTTCTTGGACAAGAGACAGAGAAATCCTTTGCCCCAACAAACTCAGCTGATCAAGAGTCATCTCAGCATCTCTCAACGATCCATCTGAACGGGATGCAATTAACCTCAATGCATCCCTATCCGCATCTAGAGTTTCACTGGTGGAAATCCACTGCAATGTGTTGACGATATCACACTCCTTCAACTTGGGGAAAAAAAACTTTTGACATCTTGACAGGATGATATGAGGGAGGTCGAGGTTGGGACCAACAAGGATAAACACCACACGACGGGGTGCCCGTTCAATGACTTTCGAGATGATGCTCCAAGTGTCTGCTGGCAATGTGTCGCAGTCATCAAATATGAATACCCTATAATGTGATGGTGCCGGTGAAAGCATGACATTGTCAAGAACATCCACAATTCCATCCATGTCGATGTTGCCTATGGGCCCAATCTCCATCACGTTCCTGCTTTTGCCAACATTGTGCGCGATGCACGAAATGCACGAGTCACAGGGCCGTGGGTGCTCGGCAGAGTGGCAGTTGAGCGCCTTGGCGAAGACGCGCGCACATGATGTCTTCCCTGTGCCGTGCGGCCCATAGAAGACGTATACCAACCCAACCTTCCTCCTTAGGACGGCGTTGGATAGCGCCTGCACCACCAAGCTCTGCCCGACGACGTCCTTGAACGTCCTCGGCGCGAACTTCTGTGTCAGGCTCCGGTGCCGGCTGCGGCTTCGCAGAGAGCCCCGTGTCCCAGACCGCACCTGGGACAAGAGGTCAGAATCCATCCCGCTGCTCCTGTTAGAGAATAGCCCGAGCTCCCCGGAGTAGCTGCCAGTCATGCCGCCAATGTCATTGCGTGCACCGGAGGTGGCCGCCTCGACGAGCAGAGGCAAAGCGTCAGAGTCGGAGCTAGTGGAGGAAGCCAGCCTCTCGGACTTGACCGGGAAAAGAGAGTGTGAACCGCTGAGGTGCGCGCGCGAGGCGGAGGCGGAGGCCGTTGCTTCGGGCTCGCGCCCCGCGGCCGACTTGGGGTCGGAGAGCCCGCACGATAGACTGCGGCCGGCCAGGTCGAGGATAGACTTGCCGCGGTGGTGGAGGCGTGACCAGTTCCACGGGATGCCGCAGACGTTGCGCGAGTCCTGCGGCACATGCTGCCGCAGCTCGTCGCCGTCGCGGAAGAGGTACTTGTTGCCGTAGACGGCCTCCTGGGAGCTGGAGTTGAGGGAGAGCGCGGCGGCGGCGCGATCTGGGGCCTTGCCGGCGGTGCCGGCGCGGCGGGCGGCCCCGGCCCCGGCCCCGCGTTTGAAGCGGCGGCGGGGGCGCCTGACCGCCTTGGGGTGGGGGTTGTCGGCGAGCTGGTCGAGGAGCGTCTTGAGCGCCCCGTTGGCCTTGGCGCTGCGTCGGGACCTGGCGGGGAGATCGACGCCGCCGTCGCGGTCGTCGTCGGTGTACGGGTCGGGGTCGGCCGCCACCTTGGAGGACTCGACGGAGCGGCGCGTGGACGGGTCCCGGAGCGTCCGCGCCCGCGAGCGCTGGAGCGCGAGGAGGTCGCGCATCAGCGCTGCCGACGCGGGGCTCCGCCTCCGGCCCGAGGAGGACGCGGCCCCCCCGCCGCCTCCCCCATGGTGGCGCAGGTGTACGCAGTTGGTGAGGTGCGCGTGGCCGCGGAGGTGCCCGCCGGCCGCGGCGGCGCGGTCCGGCGCCGGCATTGCGTCACGAACGTACGGCACGAGCGCGGCGGCGCTGGGATCGAGGCGCGAGAGAACCGCTGACTCCCCTGTGTGCGCTAGGCCATCTGGGCGTCGGGGCGTGTGCGTGAGTGCCGCGACTGCGAGTGATTGTGGCGGTAGTGTATGGCTCGGAGATTTCGCCTTTTCAGTTCGAGGCTGCGGGATTTCACGGGAAGGAGAGGGCAGGGGGAGGGGGTGGGTGGCGGTGTGGGCTGGCGAGTGGCCTCGTCTCGTGCCGTGTGTGGGAACTGGCGGTGTTCTCGGGGATCGCGCCCGCGTCGCCGGGGCATATGGATCTCCCACGGCACGGGGCGGGGGGAATGGATTGGCCTTTCTCGGCTCGGCTCGGCTCGGCCTCGGCGCCTTGGGGCGTGGGCATGCATCGGCGGCGGTTGCGTCTCTGCGGGACTGCACCACGGCAGTACCGAGGCACTATTGGCCGAAGCAGTATGGGTCGCCTCCGTTCGTTCCACGGCCGTGCTTGACATAGGCTGATGGTAAGACGGTACAGGTACCGTTGCTCTCGCGCTCTACCATTTGGCGTGAAAATGGTGAGCTACATCCGTAGAAAGCACGTGACCTGTCGTGCGTTTCGAGTGAACACAGAGCAGCCATTCGCACCAGCCAAGTTGCAGATATTATCTAACATCGTAACTCCCTCACCCTTAGGGACAAAACAAATTCATGGGAGACTTAAAAAAAATCAAGGATGAGGGAGGTAGATGTGAGAGGGAGTTAGATGTCTCACATTTAAGATCTAACATAGACAGACCCACTTTATTAATTCAAATTCAAAATTTCTGCTGTACCAGCCTTGGTGGACCGCCGGACGGCCCAAGGGCTCAAGCTGCGAAGCTCTGACGTGAACAGGACAGTAATCACGCTCGGCAGTGGAGCCAGGTGCATCATCGGGTGAAACGTCGGTCGCAAATGATTCGGGGGCGAGGCGGGACGGGAGGATGGCCGCAATCAGCAGACAACGTCAGCGGCCAGAACGTACCCAGGGGCCAGGGCCAGGGCAGGCGGGGCTTTGCCGTTCACGAAGAAATGTCAAGCCGAGCCTACCTCAGCACTGGGTTTGGAAAAACTTTCAAATTAGGCCTCCTTTTTATTTGGCAACTGATTTGGCAAACGATTCTAATCGGCCGACCACGGGCTCGCTCGCTCGAGGTTTTCGTCTCGCTTTATATATTATATTTAAAAATAACATAATTAAGTTGCACGGCCGAACAATACATAGTGAGGTTGCCCTCTTACAAAACAAATTAGGGATAATTAGACACCACAAACGCACGTGACTATGATGCCGAAAGAAAACAAAGGACGATCATAATACAACACCACAACATGCCCTAAAACACCTTAGCTCCACGACAATTGTGGTGACCCAACATACCACTACATGATGTAGTATGCGAGTCGTTGATATAACGTCCATAAGACTCCGTTTCATGAACTTTATACCCCTCGAGTGTACAACAAAAATATGGCAGGTCCAAACCATCATTATGCTACAAAACTATATTCAAACAAAGGATCAAGTATTGAACGGTAAAAACTACTGGTATCAAAATACGGGGTACCACTATCGATCCTGCGATCACTTGCTGAGTTTAGATCATGTCCCACATGATCAGTCTGGCTGCTACTACTATCCCTACTCTACTCCTGCTGCTCAGGGTCTTCTCCTTCATTGTCGGCTCCATAGGCGATGACGTAGTCGACTCCTTCAACTCCCCCAGAAAGGTCTGGTTCTTCATAGAAGTACTCTCCGGCAACATTGGGATCCTCCGACATCTCTTCCAAATATCCGAGAGGGTTTAGAAGACAAAGGATGAGTACACGAGGTATTCAAAAAGTTGATATATATTATGGGGTGGAGATGCACCACAAGATTCCACATAGGTCTCACCAATGATTTCGAGAAAACATATGTAGCATCAAGTTTTATTAAAACATGTGGCCATCAGACTTCACGGGTTGATAGAATATCTGATAGACCTCAAGACACACGTCGCGCCTGCCGCAAGATGAGTGTGATCTAACGCCAAGCGGTGTTGTTGTGCCTCCACAGCAATGCCCGCATGGCAAATCGCCCGTCGACCAAGCTCAAGACCTGCGGGCGCAGCTCCCTCCACGCCAACTCGCCCTTGCTCCCACGACGTGACGAAAAGAGCGCAACGACGCTCCTGCTGGCTCTGCCAGGAGTCGAGCGACGTCGCGCTTTTCGCATTCCGACATGCCTTCAACGGCGACAGAGGCGATGACATGAGCACAAATGTTGCTGGATTTTCCTCCAGTGGCTCACAAGATGGATGGGTGGAGAGCCACCATTCGGAGCTTGGTCGAGTTTGCTTTTGCGGCGACGTTTGCGAACTGCGCCTACGCCTCAAGCTGAAGGTCGTGCGGCAGGCGGTGCACCCATGGTGCAATTACTCCTCGGCAACAATCTCAGCGACAACACCAGCACTCGCAGCGGGCCAAACAAGATGCGCAGCCTGACGGCGCATCGATGGCTTCCTCAGACCCGCAGACGCAACGAGAGCAGAGACAGGTGCTGCTTGACACGCGAGCGAAAGACGCTCGCACCACCATCTAGCGACACCGGGAGGCGCATCGTCAATCAAACGAGCGCAATGGTCCAGTCGTCGATGAGCCAGCGCCCGTCGTTGGCGGGGTACTTACCTTATTAGGTCGGGTACCCCGCCTTCACACGTGAGCTCGGCAAGTCCGCTGGCCGTCTGTCCGCGCGTTCAAGCCTGAGGTCCCGAAAAATTACGTCGGCAGTCAGAACCTGACATAGTTCTTGGGCATTTACACGATTGTTGTGCAAGCTGTCGGGGGAAGAGACGAGAAAATCCTTGCCAACTACTTCCCATTGCTACTCAAGCCCAACGTCAGGTCTTGGCTAATGAACTTGCCGGAAAACTCCATTTCCTCATGGTCAGATCTTTGCAATGAGTTTGTTGGTGCTTTTACCGGTGGACAGAAAGGACCGAGGTTGCCCAACGACTTGCAAGTGATCCCACGGAAGGAAGGGGAGAACCTGTGCAAGTGCATGCAGAGGTTCAGCTGCGTGCATCGCAGCATACCAGATATTCACCTCGTGACTGTGGTTGCCGCATTCCTCACGAATGTGCACAATTGCAAAATGCGGGAAAAGATGCATATCCACTTGCGAAGACCGTCAACCAACTCTATATGCTGGCGGACAAATGTGCACGCGTTGAAGAAGGTAGAAGGCTTCCCGGGAAGGATGATGTTGCCGAAGTCGATTCTGACGATGATGGCATATCTACCCTAGGAAAGAAGGGTCGAAGACACAATAGAAAATGCAGAGGCAAGTCAGTGATGGCTGTGGAAGGATCCGGAAACTCCGGCCCCGCCAAGAGACCCAAAACGGAGAGTACCTGCAAGGAAGCAGCTACATGCGTTGATTGTCATGTCGCCGCGGCAGGAGAGAAAGCTGGCAAGTCCAATGGGCCGTACTGCAAGATCCACCGTACCAAGGGCCACGACCTCCAGGAGTGTCGTCAAGTCGAGTAGCTGGTTGAGAAACAGAAGGCCGAGTATGAGAAGCGGGGCAAGGAGAAAGGCTAGGACAGTACATGCAGATTCGGCAAGAAGGGCCGCGGTGGCCGAGGCGGACGCCGCGACAACACCGACCAGGAGAAGGAAAAGCCCGCTAGGGGCAGAGAGAAGAAAGAAGAAGATGAAGAAAGTGAGGGTGAGGATGATGAGTCTAGCGAACAAGAATTCCAGAAGGCGAAAGAAGCCATGTGCATTGATGGGGGTGCATCTTTGCACTCCTCCCATCACCAGCTTAAGCAATGGGCGTGCGAAGTTAATGCAGTAGAGTTGGCACCAGATGGATGAAAGCCCCTCAAGTGGTCCCACACACCTATCATTTTCGATGTTGAGGACCACCCTCATCGCACAACTGCGGTCGGGTGTTTGCCGTTGTTGGTCTCACCAGTGATACGCAACCTCAAGGTCACGAAAATGTTAGTTGACGGTGGAGCCGACTTGAACCTGATCTCCCTCGAGGTGATCAAGAGGTTGTAGATACATGGGGAAGAGCTCAAGAAAACCAGGAATTCCAAGGAATCAACCCGGGAAGGAGCCAACCAAAAGGAAAGATCACGCTGCCGGTGACTTTTGGCGGAGACCTAAACTACTGAACTGAGAAGATCGTGTTCGACATGGTTAAGATCCCCTTGCCGTTCAACCGAATTCTTGGTCACCCAGCCTTAGCCAAATTCATGGCGGCATCCCACTATGCTTACAACACACTAAAGATGCCGAGGCCAATAGGCGTCATCTCCATCAACTTAGATCAGAAAGATGTAGTCATTTGTATGGATAAACTCTATAGGGACGCGGTCGCATCAGAAGGAGACAAGACAACACTTCCCGCCAAGCCGAAGAATAGCAAAAGGCCCGGCAAGACATCCAGCAAGATTCTGGGAAGCGCGCCTCCCCGGAGTGTTGCGCACCCGTCGAGGACTTGCCAGAAAACTCTACCGGCAAGAGATCCAAGGCCGCTCCACCTGCAACAAAGAAGGTGCCAGCAAGGGAGGATGGCACTAATGGTAACTTCACCATCAATGCCACCCTGGACAACAAATAGGAAAGCACACTCATTGCCTTCCTGCAGGCAAATGTAGATCTCTTTGCATGGCAACCATATGACATTCCCGGTGTTCCCAGGGAGGTAATTGAGCACCACTTTTCTATCTACCCTCACGCTCGGCCCGTCAAGCAAAAGGTGAAGGAAATATGCCCTAGAGGCAATAATAAAATTGTTATTTTAGATTTACTTATTCATGATAAATGTTTATTATTCATGCTAGAATTTTATTAACCGGAAACTTGATACATGTGTGAATACATAGACAAAACAACGTGTCCCTAGTATGCCTCTACTAGACTAGCTCACTGATCAAAGATGGTTAAGTTTCCTAGCCATGGACATGAGT